GAAACTTACCCCTCACAGGAACTCGTCGAACGCACTCTTCGTCAGCCACGGATATGGCTTGATGGAGACCCTCCAGGGCCCGGTCGATGTCCTCCACTGTGTCAAGCGGTGGGTTGTCGACGGTGTGGCGGTCGACCACGCGCCGAAACTGGACCCAGTTGACTCGATGGTAGTCCTTCCGCAGGCACGGTGCAGCGGCCACGTTGCAGCCCAGCTCGGTCAGCACCGGTTGGTGGTCCGAACTCAGGTCGTTGACAGCAACCGGCTTGGCTAATCCAGTGTTTGCCAAGAACAGGTCCAGCGTCGATGGGTTGCCCACCGGTGATGTGAAGGTTGGTTCGTCCGGAAACCAGACGGAATAGAGACCATGCTGGGAATGGTCGAATAATAGGCGGCCGTTCTGGTTCTGCTGGTAGTTTCGCCAGGCCTCGTGCCGGGCGTTCAGGTCCCCTCCGATTACGAAGCGGGCATTGGTGCGGGTTATGATGGCAAGGTCGTTCTTGAACTGATGTGCTGTACCATTGCTAACGGTACATTACCGGGGGCAGTAGGCGGCGATGAACCGGACGTTTCCGGTCGATGTTTCCACCTCTACGCCGACGGCCTCGATGATGGAAGTGCGGTAGCGGGGTAGGGTGCAGTACTTGATGCCTTTCTTGATGATGACCGCGACAGCGCCCCCCCTGGAGCTGGTGCGATCAAGCCGGACAATGCTGTGGTCGGGCAGCCAGAGGCTGTCACCGGTCTTGAGGTGGGTCTCGGTGAGAAGGCCCACTTCGATGTCGTGCTTGTGGAGGAAGTCTGCAAGCTCAATGTTTTTCGCCCCTACGGAGCGAGCGTTCCAGTTGGCGATCTTTATGGCTTCACGGTCCATAATTAGCGACGAAGGAGATGATAGCTTGGAGCTGTTGTGTTCTTGTAGCGCAGGTGCGCTTGATGATGATGGCCTGGGCCAGCAGTGTGACGATCTCATCCGTTGACAGCGGAGAATCGTCGGATGCTTCGCCGGTTGTACCGGCCAATCCCGGAGCAGGGGGATCCGTCGATGGGCCGGAGGCTTGACCGGGTACTGCAGCGGCAGCCGACTGGGCAGCAGCCAACTGTTGGTTGAGCGGGAGCGGCGTCAAAACTGGAATTGGCCGTGGTTGGACCGGTGATAACGGAGGAAAGTTCTGCGCGTTATTATTTTTATATTTAACCATTTGTAAATGGTTGACTTATGCTTCCGATAGATGATTGCAAGCTTAGCTTTGGATATACCAAGGAAAAAGTATCCGTAAAGCGCATGATACACACTTAATCTAGCTCGGTAAAATCTCCAACAGCCGATTACCTCGGCATTTGCTTTTGCTGATATATCTGCAAAATATCTGTTTGTTAGCTGATATCTCAGCAAAATGTTATTTGTTAGCTGAGTCTCGGCAAATGTTTTACTGAATCTCAGCAAAATAAATTGCAGAACTGCTCGGCTGTTGGAATCTCGGTGAAAAATTTTAAGTGTGTATGCTGTATTCACCCTGTGCTTAATACAAAGGTGACACACAAGGAAGAAGTATTAGCATAGAGGTAACTCTAAGACTAGAAGCATAGAGGTAACTCTAAGACAAGTAGGTCCCGAAGAAACGTGCTCAACTTTTTGGCTCACCTCTGGTACTATCTTCGGTCCCAAGCTTGTCGAATCACCCCTCGAAACATAGGAAAAACCAATAACCCCTCATTTTATCTGTCTTGCCGTATTGCTTTCCTATGTAAGTAATAACTTTTTGATCTGAATTTCGCGAATAAACGCGAGGAGCATTTCTTATAGCAAAAGTTGCCATACAAAATGGTCTTAGTTCATTTTTAGTAAACAAACTAACACTTTTTCTACTGTGTCACCTTTGTATTACCCGCCTAGGTCGTAGTCGTATAGTGTATAAGGGGAGCTAATCCTGCATGAATATGATGAATATAGATGAGTCAGGTCTCGAGGAAGGAAGATCCAAACACCAGAGTGCAAGATGGGAGGATCTAAGTTCAAAATAGGGGTGTTTTTTACAGAGAAAAAAAAAACACTACGCGTCAATGGGAATAACACACACACAGAGAGAGAGAGACTTATACTCAGAGGTATGGAGGAATTTCTAAAAACTGCTGGAATTCTGCGCTACCTGCAGTTTTTAGAAATTTCTCACATAACTGAGTAGAAGTGACTCTCTCTCTCTGAGTTATTTTCAGGAATCCATATCCAAGACCATTTTGAACTTCATGATTCATGTTAGGCAGCTTGATAAATATATGAAATAATGTTGGAATTCAAATTGATAGTTCTCTACATTGGTTTGCTGATTTCCGTAAAAAAAAATGATGTAGGTATTATACTAATGACTTAGCCAATCACTTTACTTTGTTCAAATATGTAGGAGAGGTGAAAAGCATAAATCCTAGTAGTTTCACCAGCGCAAAGTAGTAAACGTCTACTTCGTTTACGATCTCCATTCCATCAAGATTAATTTTACCCTTTTAGCCATCTCTGCTATGAGAGCCCATTACCTGTTTGTTTCTTCGAAGGCAGCCATCAGCTCAAACAAGCGTCCTAATAACCTTGAAAACGTACCTCAATTTCCCACCCGCCAGCCCCAGTTTAAATTAAAATGGACGGACTTCCGATTTGCTGGCTCGCTTAACTGCTGAGATTCGCACAAATGATGCCATTGCATGGAACACGGATTACGCTAATCATCGCGCATTTCCCGATGTGTTGGGGTAAAGGGTGTCCACGATGAAATTGCCACACTATGAAATTGCTCTATCTTTTTAACCGTTGGGTAGAATTTAATGAAAATTTGGGTGGATTTAGTTCATAGTGCATTATTTACATCCTGCAAGTTTTAAAGTCCTGTGATCAAAACTCGCGGAAATGGAGTCGAAAGAACAGCTCGTGCGTGATAAAATCTTGCGCATTCATCACGAGAATAAGGATCTCTCGCATCGTTCCATCGCTAAAACGTTGGGAATAGCGAATTCCACGGTGTCGCGAGTGATTAAGCGGTTCGAGGAACGGTTGACCACCGATCGGAAGCCCAGAAGTGAAGAAAAAAGTATTCCGTACAACACCAAAAATCACAACCGCGTAGTTGGGGCCTTCAACCGAAATCCGAACGCCTCCGTTAGGGATGTTGCTAAGAAGCTGCACCTAAGCCGAAGTTTTGTCCAGAAGGCCAAAACTAAGGCTGGGCTTCGAACGTTCAAGGTACAAAAGGCCCCTAATCGCGACGAGAAGCAGAACAAGTCCGCCAAAACCCGTGCCAGGAAGTTGTACCTCAACATGCTGACGAAAGTTGAATGCTGCATCATGGACGACGAAACATATGTGAAGGCCGACTTCAAACAGATCCCCGGCAACCTGTTTTTCACGGCCAAGGATAAGTTCAGCGTTCCGGAGCATGTCCGCACTCAGAAGATGTCCAAATTTGCGAAGAAATTCCTGGTTTGGCAAGCCATCTGCACGTGCGGGAAGCGGAGTGCACCTTTCGTGACCCAGGACACGATGAACGGACAGGTGTACATAAAAGAGTGCCTCCAGAAGCGGCTGCTTCCTCTCCTGAAGGCCCACAACGTCCCAACAATCTTCTGGCCGGATTTGGCCTCATGCCACTACTCCAAGGACGTGCTGAAGTGGTATGCGGACAATAAGGTCAATTTCGTGCCGAAAATGTTCAACCCTCCCAACACTCCGGAGCTCCGCCCCATCGAGAAGTACTGGGCGATTATGAAGCAGCACCTTCTTAAACGACCTAAGGTAGTGAAGACAGTCGAGGAACTGAAGAAAGTATGGGTTTACATGCAAAAAACGGTTGATTCACAGGTTGTGCAGAATCTTATGGCCGGGGTTAAGGCCAAGGTGCGGGCATTTGCGTATGGACTGTAAATAAAATACGAGTAAAATGGTAAAATGAAGTTTAATAGTTATTTCTCAATCCCTGAAAATTTTATGGCAATCGGATGAAAACTCGAATTTTGCGAATCAATTTTGTGTGTGGCAATTTCATCGTGGACACCCTTTATACATAGTCCAGGTGGAAGGAGATCATAATATAATGTTGCGGCGGGTGTTTACTCTAGTTAATAAGTGTAAGTTATTGAGCCCAAATGGCCGAATTTCCATCCACCTCCGCGGCACATTTGTTTCAATAAGCGCTAGTCTCTACTCTCTACAGTAAGGGCGAAATAATGGTGAACATTTTTTTTAGTGTGGAATTATGTCCGCGTCGTGGATTATGCATATATTTTCCCGCTCTTTTCATTCGGCATAGGCGTGTATGTAATTAACGTGCTTGTAGTGAGCTCCCCCTTCCTACACCGCTGTTGGCAGTTTTATAGCCGAGTTTGTAGGAAATATGGAATCACTTAAGGACGAGTTCGCGTGATGCAGAAGAATTAACGGGTACCAACCGCACCGCACTAACTCGTACATAATCTGCTGGACACAAGGATGGAGAATAGGGAGGGTGAATTACTCGGGTATGCAAAAATAAACTGCCGCCGCTAGAATTGATTAGAGGAGGGGTGCAGCAGAAAAATGTTCACGTGTCCGTTTTGATTTCCTTGGACTTGACTGGGCGCTGAAATGTAGTGATTTCATATTCATCTGGCCGATGGCCTCGCAGCTATACTATAATTTCCGTTACATAACAGCTTGGCCATGCAAGGCAGTGGTGAGCTATCGTCCTAGCAGGATAAAATCAGCTTCCTTGGATTGTATATGAGATGGAAACAGCGGAGAAACCGATTGGATTCACGCAACAGGTCCAAGAAGAGTAGCGAGAGGAAATCTTGGGGAACAAAGCCACCGATCAGTGATTAGTGGTGGCCATTCATTATTTATGACGAGTCGTAAAAATATGTTTCTCCGCCTTCGCAAGGTCAGCAGTGTTGTACCTTCCGATGAACGACAATCACCGCGGTAGGTCTGCTGCAGGGACTTAAGATGTGATATACATAGAGCAAAGCAAAATCACTTACAGTTCCATGCCGATGGTGTATTGTTGTTCGCCTGTCGTGTTCTATTCACCTACTCAATGCTGATGATAAAACCTCTGCTGGATTGTGTCCTCGTTTCTTAACAAAGTGTCCTTATAATATATCTTGCAATCCTAAACAACTAAACGGGTTCGTGCGTATTCTACATCTGTCCGCACTGCGAGATCACCACCGGCAGTTTAGGTTTGTTGTTGGGACCGGTGGGAACATTCTCTATCTTTCGCATAATCAATAATCCATCCAGCACCCGACCGAACACGACGTGCTTGTAGTCCAGAAAGTTGCACTTTGCACAGGTGATAAAGAACTGACAACCGTTGGTGTCCTTCCCGCTGTTAGCCATCGATAGCAAACCGGGAGCTTCGTGTTTCAGCAGGAAACCTTCGTCCGGGAATGTGTTGTTACCGTAAATGCTCATCACCCCTGTTCCGTCACCCTGGAAGAAAATAGGACAATCAAATTTCAGCTCCCCAAACGAAATCCCCTTCTTACATTCACAAAGTCACCACCCTGGATCATGAAATCCTTAATCACTCGGTGAAAGCTGGATCCCTTGTACCCAACCGGAACGCCGTCCTTCTTGTACTCGCCGGTGCAAAATTGGCGGAAGTTTTCACACGTCTTCGGAACGACGTCTGCAAACAGCTCGAACACCATCCGACCAATTTCCTTTCATTGTATAAATAAAAAAAAAGCAAAATGTTAACCAAAATTCCACTATGCTCTAAAATCGAACCTACCGACGTCCCGACCGTGATATCCATGAACACGACCGGGTTGTTGGGGTGGCGCAGCTGCGATTGCATCTGGTTCCAGGTGGGCATTGTTAACAGTTAATAGGTAATGTGAGATTATTTTTTCACCCCTTCACTAGCTTCGAACCACTACCGACGGAAATGCTACCGTTCATTCACCTGGGAACGTAAGTCGCTTTCCGGTATGATCTGCTGAAAAGGAAAGAAGGATGCTTCCGCCCGCGATGAGGTTTTGTTTACAAATGCGCGCTCACCGCTCGCGTTGGCAAACGTTCGCGAAACGAAAATGAGCCGATCGTTTCGGAGTTGGCGGTGCGGCGAACTTTGACGTTTGCTCGGTTCAGTGCCCACCGGTTTTGAGCGGAGGGTTTTCACTCTGGTGATGATCCCTCTTTTTGCTACTTTTGACGGCGCTTGTGAAGTATTGTTTTCGTTCGGAACGAGAGAGTGCTGCGTGGTTTTTTGTTTTGGATCGCGATCCGCGTTTCATGTACGATAATTTCGTGAATTTGAATTGCTATTGAAAAGTGGTGAGCAGTTACTGGAAAATAGTGTTATAAAGTGAAAGTTCAGTGAAAGTGAATTCTTAATTCTTCAAGGTGACCCAAAAATTGTCCCGAAGGACTCGTTTATAGGTAAGTGCGATATCATTTTTGAAAGCGGTTTCAGCTGCTCGTTGATGTGCAAACAGCAGGCTCGCTCAGGCGGTTCAGGGTTGAAGTCCTAAGCCTTTTGATGGGCATTGGTGATCATGTCGCTAAGATTGTAAACGATACAAGCTGCGGATAGATTGATTTTAAGTGACCAGATAATATCTATGTACTTAACACCGGTCTGAAATCTTCGATAAAAATGTTTAATATGTCGAGATAGACCGTGAGCCGGTCATAAGGTGGTAGAATTTTATTCACAATAGGGAAAAACCCCACAAATTTGCCAAGGGGCTGTTCATAAACTACGTTGACAGTTTCTGAGAGGTTTTTTTTTGGTGATGTTCTCCACAACTATTTAGCATTGTGGAATGGTTTGAATTTACATTGGATTAATTTCGTAGAATTTTCTTGAAATCTCCTTAGACAATGTTCAGTGATTTCTAGAGGGAAAATAACACCATATGCGGATATCTTGTAGTCAGGGACCCTTATTCTGTGTAGCACTTCGGTGATGGCCTCCTAGCTGGCGCTATTAAAAGTGCAGGTTGGCCAACGAACCGTGAAAACCGGAAAAAGCCGGGAAATAAGAATTTGAAAATTGACCGGAAAACCGGGAATTTGACGGGAGATACGGGAGAAATTAATAAACCATAACTGCCGATAATCGCAAGTCAGTCCCATCTGCATTTTTATCAATTTTGAGTTAGCATCATTATTCAGTTCATCTTTCTATGTTTTTTGAGATGTGCTATTGAAAAAATGTGGTTTTTTCAAGAAAAATGAAACACAATACCAAGTCAAATTGTCCCACAGCGAAAAGTAACCGCAAGTCAGTTCCATTAGAAAAAAATATGTTAGAAATGTTAGACAACACATCGCATCATGAGCTTTGTCTCAAGATAGATTTTGTCCACTTCCCCTAGGGTATCTGGAACATGTACGGATGTGGCCAATGGATATGGCTTTGAATTCTCATGTGAGTTAATGTATCGCTTGAAGGGGATTTTGATTTATAAAGGATTTACAACTTCCCCGGGGATACCCGGAACTTGTCCGGGTGTGGCCTACATGGTGCTGGTCACTCATCATGACTCTTATTGATCTTATGTTTGAATTGATTTATCGCATGGTGGGTTTGGCACGTTTATGAAAAGCTCTGGTCTGATGAAGACCCATACTCACCGATATATGTTCCGGCCATTGCTCTGGAACCAGCGGAACAAATCCAGAAGCATTCAATAGCGTTCTATGGAACCATGGTATCTTTCTACTGTTCAATACTGTGCTAAACTAATGCACCATCCTCATGGAATTGTGACTGACTTGCGGTTATTTTTCTCATTGACGTTAAATGTAATCGCAAGTCAGTCCCACTCAGATTTTGGCCATAAAATAAAAATTTCACGATGTTTTTCCAATATTTTTAGGTAAACATAGATGCATTCTATCACATTCTACGATTACACTAGTTTACAAAACAACATAAAAAGTGTGAACTTTAGTGGTTGACCAACGTTTCTAATGCAAAATCCTACGCTGAATTCAATGCCGTGGTCAGAAAAAATTAAAGTAGAGCCATTTTTAAGATATACAAAATTTTTTATTTTTTTAAATTTTGGACAAAAGTACGATTACTAAAATGTCAATATCTTTGGAACTAGTGCACCAATTTTAAATCTTTTTTTATGAAAGTGAAGCTAAATAAATTTGCTATCGTTCACTAGAATATTATGTCTTAATTAAAAATTTAATTTTGAAGTAATTTAAAAATTTACAGCATTTTTTTTTATTTTTCCTGTGTATTTTCCATAAAAATCTTGTTTTAATCAACATTTTTAATGGGATAAAAAGATTCAAAAAATCATTCCATAATTTATTCTTAAATTCCATTAAAAACTGGAGAAAATGAGCCTTTAATGGATGAAATCGGTTGGAAATTGTCGAAGTTATGATTTTTTTTGTAAAATCATGGCAATTGAATGTTCCAAGATTGGCCGTTGTCCCGCTCCTAGGTTTATGCACCACTTCCAGTAAGCCTTTCTGCGGACGTGTACGCATACGGTGCATTTCACTAACACTACCAGCTGTCACGCAAAATTAAATGGGATATTTTCAACAATATAATTTACGGTAGTGTTTGTGAGACCGCTCGGCGAGAACCTAACGCAACCAACTCAATTTGACAGCTTTCTTTCTTTAACATTGCTTAACGATGTATACGACAAAACGTGAATTCAAGTGTAAAAATGATCCTCAAAAGTTTTGTTATGCGTGTGGCAACTATATATTTACAAAATCGGTCAATTTCACTGCTTCGTTGCAAACTGCATACAGGCTTTATTTTAAAATTGATCCTGGAGACTTTGACGAACCGTGGATTCCAAAAGTATTATGTAGTTCGTGCAAAACGTGCTTGGCTAGGTGGATGTCAGGCGCAAGGTAAATTGATTTTTTGAATAACTTTCATATAAACAATTTATGTACAGCATGGTAGTGCTTTGTTCTTTCCTGATCGACATTATCTTACTTCATCTATTTTTGATAAGTGTTAATGTCTTACTTACTAACTCACTTATTTGCTATCTGTCAGTCGCTATTTGTCCTTTGACATGCCCACCATATGGCGTCGACCGTTTTGTCATGCAACGGATTGTTATTTCTGCTTGACAACAGTTAAGCAACAAGGACGTCACAAAACAGTTGAGTATCCACAAGTGGCTTCTATGACAAAACCTGTTCCACATTCAAGTTCGGTCCCGTATCCTGTTTATCCAAAGCGGAAACGAGCGCCCTCTGTTGAATCGACCGTTACAAAAAGTGAGGAGCAATTCAAGGAGGAATGCGAGGAAGACTTCGAGGTGGAATTGGAAAGAAACCCAAAACTGTTTACACAATCCGAATTTAATGATTTGGTGCGAGATCTCGACTTATCGAAGGAGGAATCCGAATTGCTGGCATCACGCTTGAAAGAACACAACATGCTGAGCAAAGGAGGTCAAAATTTCTTGTCACAGGAATCGTCACAAGAAATTTGACAAATATTATTCTACAAAGGACAAGGCATGTTTTTGCCATGACGTAAACGGCTTGTTTGAAGAGTTTGGTGAGCCATATGATCCAGCTGAATGGCGTTTATTCATCGATAGCAGCAAGTTGAGCTTGAAAGCCGTTTTACCATAGAGGTAACTCTAAGACTAGAAGGTCCCGAAATAACGTGCTCAACTTTTTGGCTCAGCTCTGGTACTCTCTTCGGTCCCAAGCTAACCGATTCACCCCTCGAAACATAGGGAAAACCAATAACCCCTCATTTTATCTGTCAAACTTTCATAGCGAATCAAAACAAACATTGCGTAGTACTAGAATTTTGACTAGAATGGGGTACGTTAATCGTTTGCTTGGGACCAATAGGCTAGTCAAGTAGTGAGTCAATTTAAAATCGTTAGTTTCGTATTGATTGTTGGTTTTACTGCATCAAGGGAATGAGAAACCTTCTATTCCATTAGCTCATGCCGTTAATATGAAGGAAACGTATAATCAATGGCTCTATTGCTCAATTTGATAAATTACAATCAACACAATTGGAAAATTTGTTCCGATCATAAAGTGGTTGCCATGTTGACGGGATTGCAACAGGGATACACAAAATATATGTGTTTTTTGTGTAAATGGGACAGTCAAGCTCGTAAGGAACACTACGTCCGAAAAGATTGGCCAAAACGGGATAATTTCACAATTGGTAAAGACAACGTTAAAAATGATCCTCTTGTGGTAAAAGAACGCATAATACTTCCACCACTGCTATATAAATAAAACTTGGGCTATTCAAAAATTTCGTCAAAGCGTTGCAAAAAGAAGGGCCGGCATTCCAGTACTTGAAATCAGTATTTCCAAATTTATCTGACGCAAAGATAAAGGAAGGTGTATTTGTTGGCCCACAGATCAAAAAACTGCTCAATGATTCCGCATTCAATACAGTTTTGACACCAGATGAGGAAGAAGCGTGGAAATCGTTCCAGCGTGTTGTCACAACCTTTTTAGGAAATTTCAGAAGCCCAGATTATTAGGAAGCCGTCGATAAATTGCTCAAAAATTATAAGAAAATAGGTATAAATCAAAAATATTGTGTTTGTTACATATAATTAATTTCAAATCCTTTTATTTCACCGAACACAGGTGTGAATATGTCTTTGAAGATACATTTCCTACATTCTCACATGGATTTTTTCCCGGAAAATCTTGGTGACGAGAGTGATGAGCACGGCGAACGTTTTCACCAACAAATGAAGATGATGGAACGTCGTTACCAAGGGTTTTGGGATGAAGCAATGATGGGTGACTATTGTTGGTTTCTGATTCGAGAAACAAGTTCAAAACATCGAAGACAAAGTCAGTCGATTCTCAATCATTTTTAATAAAACCCAAATTTTTGAAATTTTGCATTGGAAATGATCATCACCTTACCGAGTTCAAAAATGCTGTAAACTAGTGTTATTTTTAACTTTATCTCTTCAAAATAAGTGTCGAATCAGAAAACTTGTAAAATCTTTGATCGCCGTTTTCTCATTTCCAGTTTGTTACAGATGGGACTGACTTGCGATTATGGGCAGTTAACATACCCCAACAAACATTGAAAACTGCACTTTAACCAATCGTGTTATTATTACTTCATGCGTGAAGTTAACGAATGTCACAGTAAGAGATGCTTAACGTCAATATCTGACTTAAAGTGAACATGTTATACGATAGAGAGATGAGAAGATGAAAGTATAGAGTTGATAGTTCCGTTATAGTACAGTAGCGTGAAAATTGTATATAGAAAGTAGAAAGCGAGCAAAGGACAATTTGAGGAAGCCACGAATCGGGTCGAGCATCTCCTTTACCAAACTCATCCGTTGATGAGGGGTGGTGAGGGGTGTTTCTTCTTGTAACCACTGGCAAAACGGATGATCACCGATTCAATCATTTCAGTTGGTCAGAATTCA